AGTGTTTGATTTTGTTCTTTCCGAACTAGGATTACAATTTTTGTTGATCACTAGTTTGATTGAATAGGTTTGGATAAATCAGAAGTAATTGGGGATTGTGGCAGCAGAAGCTTCTATCTTCGAACAAACAGCAGCAATCGCAGCAGCAACAATGGAGGATCAACTTCTTTCACCTCTGAAGCCGTTCCTGCGAGAGCAAACTCTCCTCCACCGGCGGCACGCCCCGTCTTCTTACTCCCGAATTTTTTCGCTCGTAAACTTGGCAAAATCATCAGGAGGACTCATAAGCTTTGGAGAATCATAATCTGCACGAAATGAGCTGTACAAAGAACCAAAAAAATATCATTGCTCTAGAGTGACACAATATTATTCGTGTTGCTCTAGAAAGAGCCTCTAGATGTGGATGTCAACCGGACCACATCTCTGCGATGCATTGTCGTCATTCTTTCTCATACCTTTTGAATTTGATTTATGTAATGCTGTGAAGATTCCCTCATTACAAGATTCACATGTATATAAATGAAGAACAAGAAAATACCAATTGTTCACTTGACCAAAAAAGAAAAAAAAAGAAAATACCAATTGTTCATTTTCTTTTTCTTCATTAATTACGAGGTACAATTGCTTTATTTATGTGCCCTGAATCTAGGACTTACAAATTTACTCAATTTTCACATTTTGCTTCATGACTTTCTTTCTGTCAATTGTTTGTATTTATTTAAGTCTGAATTGCTCTCATGGTTTCTTTAGGTTTGTTAAATCGATTTAGTAGCTTCTCTATTGAATTCTGCAATTGTGTCAGCATCCACAACTTAATATGTGCGTATATATATGTATATTTTTTCTTTAATTAACTGAAAAGAGATTTAGACTTCCCTTTCTTCTTTTAAGGAACCAAAGTATTTTGTGATCGCAAACGGGGTCTAGTCTAGTGGAAATGACCTTAAATTGCAGACCAGTGGTCTTAGCTTCGAATTCAAATGACACCTTGACAATGTGCGAGAGGAAATTCTCCTCCCATAATGTCGGTTGTATATATATATAAAAAAAGTGATCAGAATATAACATATGTTTTTTTCATTCCTACATGGGCTGCCGAAAGAAAGGTAAATTGCGTGGCGTTAGTTTGAACCAAGAGAAAAACCTTTTCAGTTGTAATGCGGATGTCTTTATCTTATTCTTAACTTTTGACCATAAAAAGGGAACTAGCACCGGCCAAGGAATGTTGAGTTTCCACTACATCCTAATGCTCAATACGTATGGTTGAAAATGTTCTGCCTCTTGCAAATTATTTTGGTTTTGCTTCTGCTTCTTCTCAACTTTTAGTTATCATCTCTTTGGTAAATTCGTAAAAAAATCTTTCCTTATTGAGGAATTCATCAAATAATTTTATTTGAGGGACATCTTTATAGAGCTCACTCTATATTGTATTTCACTAATCCAATTTGTAGATATTCATTCAAAGATCTTCTCTATCAAAAAAATCATTTGAATCCGATATCATTTGACCACTCAATTAAATTATTGAAATTTAAATGTTTTCTCGAAACACCGTGTTCATTGATTTTGTTGGTCTCAATTAGATGCTTTAATGATTTTCAATTTGCATGATTTTTTACAAGGATGATCTCTGAATTTTTATTTTTTTCTTCGGTCGAAATCATATCTCATTTAATTAAAACGCCAAATAGGCAGGTGTACAAAGCACAAACCAATGGCACAACAGAACCAAATAGGCAAGATGATCTCTGAATGAAGATGTGAAAATAAGAGGGTTTGGATCTTTGAAATTTTGTTCATAGGATATCCTAATGGGTGTCTCTCAAATAAAATTATTTAAGAAATCCCTCTATATATATAGTTATTCTTTCATCTGGATGCCATTATAAACAAGGAGGAAAGTAGAAAGAGATAGTAGAAAATACATGGCGTTTGCACGATAATAACGTTCGGACATCCACATGATAATAATGTTCGGGCTTTCACATAGGAGAGTTTGATAATTTCATCTCATGAATTAGTCAACTTTTACGGGTTGATTGTCAACTTTTGAGGTTTCTGTCATTCAAGGTAGGCACTCCAAAATGAAATTAAGCCAGCAATAATATAATGAAGATTCTCTTAAAGGCAACCAAATATTCTTGTTGAGGGCAAGCCATGGCTGTGCCTTCACGACAAGTCAACACCAGTGTTGTGCTGGCAAGTCTCCTCCCTCTTCAACTAGAACACCCATTACAGGTGTTTTTCATTTGCTTCCACATCACGTGTTCCTTTCGACATACAAAAATATGCCAAATTTGTCACGAAAACCATCTTCCACCTCCACGTACGTATCCCCAATTCGTAGACAACAAGTCTTTGCCAATTTAGGCTTCCTTAAAGACTAAGGATTACCATGGACACTGACAATAAAATGAAATCTCACACCAATCTTGAAGTCTTCATTCCAAACCAAATTATGCTTACCAATTGGTTACACGACATTGGAAAATACTAAAGAGAATACATTTACGTAACACTTTTTTAACAGAGACGATACACAATGTAATACATAAATGTGATTTCTCTAACATTTCTCGTAACTACATAATGTACGCGTCATCTTCTAGTTAACTAATCATGGAGTTGTATCAACTCTCTACTTGAGTAGAAGGAAACCCACAAATGTGGTCCCAAGTAGATGAGTTTAACCAGTTGAGAACATAGAAAAAGTTTTAACTCATTTCCTTTATTAACCGTTGGAACCAGTGGCATGCAACAGCCTAACCGTCGTAATAAAGTAAAACTCCAGGTACCTTTTGAAGATACGTTACTTCTGGGAAGCTTCTTGCTTTCTTCCTTTTAACTGCAGCATATCGAAAACCTTGGACGGAAGTCTCTCTGCCTCTTTGTACCTCTCTACATTTGTCCACAGACTCGACAGCACTCAGCTCAACTCTTCAACATATTATGACAAAAACCCCAACTCCCATCACTCTCACTCTCATTTTCTCACACAAGCAATTCCACAAACACCTTCCCTACATTCTTCATTCTCGCCTTCTCGCAACCACAAACCATGATTCATCGATCACACCATTACCGGCGAAACCACTTCCACGCTGTTCCTCCGGCGACCTTGGGGAGGGCGCTAGCGCTTCATACGTTTCCTCCGGAGAGTCGCACCGGTGAGCTCGTTCGCCGGCGCGGCGGCCTCATCTCCGTCCCCGTGAAGCTTTGGCCGCCGCCGGAGACCCACCACCGGATGACGAAGCTCCTTCTAAACGTGACGATCGAGAGGAGCTTAGGACCTGTGCAGGTGGTAATGTCGCCGGAGAACACCGTCAGCGATTTGATCAAGGCGGCCGTAGAGATTTACGTGAGGGAGAAGAGAAGGCCTTTGGTGAAGGAGACCGATCCGCACCGTTTCGAGCTTCACTACTCGCAGTTCAGCTTGGAGAGTAAGCAGGCACTTTTGTTACTATGACGTGGCGTGCTATGAGTGGCTGTTGTATTGAAGGTCTGGAATTAATTAATTTTTAATGCGTGTGCAGGTTTGAAGGGAGATGAGAAGTTGATAAAGTTGGGGTCTAGGAATTTCTTCTTGTGCAGCTCAAAGTCAAAGCCCTCTGCTAATCATTCTAATTGCTGTGAGGAGGCAAAGAAGGCAACCAGGAATTCTCCATTTCCTTGGACAAAGTTTGTGGATTTCTTGCTGTAAACTAATGTCGCTTTTTCATGATGTATTTTCATCAATCATGCATGTTTCTATAACAAGTTTTCTCTCACGTGAAAAGTTGTGGTTTAGATGTGGAAATTTTATTATCAAAGCCTTTTGGTTAACATAGTGCTATGAAATCACATGGGTACTCTTAACACTTCATACCTCTTCTAACATTGGAAAGAGAGCATAACTAAACGGTTATTAGTCTACTCCTAATCTACTCTTGAGCAAGTATCAAAATTTGTGACGATGTCTGATGGGTCATACTAGATTGGACTATCTCAATTGAACTAGAGAAGTATATAAGGCGTTGTTTGGTATGTTAAGATTGGACAACAATCCAACATATTGTGTCTTATAAGTTTAATATAAACGGATATGACCCGTAAGGACTGGATTGGACTTTACTCCAATTCAGTCCAAACCAAAGCCACCAAACGAGGCCAAAGTTTGTCACGATGTTTGATCTCCAGTTATACCTTTTTTCTCTTTCTCAATATTGGAATAGGTCATGCTTTTGAATTCTCACTCCTCCATTAAATTAGAAAAAGTTTGGATTTTGAATGTTCGGTCTTACATGCATTAGACTGGGCTAGGCTTCGCTAGCCTTGATGGGCTTTTCTCTTTTGTTAGGTGGATCTCACTGTGCTAGTGTTTGATTTGATGTTGGGCCTATTTGACTAGCTCTTACTTGCACAAGTATTGGGCTAAACTTGGCCAGAGTTGATTTTTTTTTTTTCTTTCTTTGGTCCAATGCTGCTATTTATTTATTTAAAACATGTAAGACAAGGGGTTATCATTTGGCACACGGGCCGTTGGGGGCCCACTCGACCCATTAAGAAAATTCATGATACGCCCTGTTAGTTAGTGGGCTAGGCTTGAATTAGGGTGTCTAAAGTCCGGCCCAAATCATAGGCCCGGCTCAGCCTGTTTGAGCCCATAAATGCCCGGCTAGCAAGTCTGAAATTTATGGAGTTTCAGCCTTTAATAAAAAAAATGTTTTTTTTCATCTCAATCGCATATACAAAGTTGATTTTCCTACAACTTTCATATATACCATCACTCTTGTCGTTAGTAAGTATGTTAACCATTAATGTGGCAATATATGTTCCACATAGACCCACTCATATGGTGCCACGTAGTGTGACAATATTATTAATTAAATAAATAAGAAAATATTATTAATGAAATAAATAAATAAATAAATATCCCATATAGACCCACTCATATAGTGCCACCTAGACCTGGCCGACGAGCCCCAAATGGAGATTATCGTTCTTTGGTTTATTAAGTTAAAAAAAACCAAAATGGCATTAATCATTCATCCTCCTCGGGGCACCGCGTTGGCTTGAAAGACTTGACTACCATTCTCGAGTCTCCTCCGCCCGTCCCAAAAAAACAAACGAAAGGGAAACAGCTCCGATCCTTTCCGTGTATCCGCAGCAAACGCTAAAGACCCAGCCGCGCGAACTGCGCACTTGCACCTCTGTTAGCACATCTCATTCTGGGGCTGCTATCGTGCGCACGTAGAATCGAACACACACACACACACACACAGAAGAGAGAAAGAGAGATTAAGTCAGTAGTGTGAGAGGAAGAGGAGGAAGAGCATGGAAGATCTCTACGTTTGGCTCATCTCCTTCTTCTTCCTCATAGCCTTACTTGCCCTGGTTGTTTTCCAGGTCAATCCCTAAAACCCCTTTTCATTGTTATTTAACTTTTTTAAAAATTATTATTTCAATTTGACATACATTCTAATGAGCTCCTTTTCAATTTCAATTTCAATTTTATGGCTTAAAAGAGAGCAATCAATCAAACAAAAAAAGTTCACTTCTTGCTCACCAAAATGGCACTTATAGTTTAAAAGGGTATATTTATGATGTCACAGTGTGTGTGTGTGTGTGTTTTGACAATAATTTCTATGTTGGTGATACAAGAATAAAAGAATTAGGTACATTACTGGCAAATGCTAATAGAAAACGTGGTGCAACTTGAAAGCTCATAGATTTAATGAAAATGCATTTTCCCTTTTGAGTAAGTTTTGTGTGTGTGCACTTTGTAACATAACATATGGGTTTCTCTACAAATTTAAAGTTCAACCGTGGATTCCTATGGCTTATAGCTTAGCTTAACTAGATATGATCCAAATGCATTTGTTCCTTCTATAGGCTTCTAATCTCTCTTATAGCTACTTACATTTGGTGGATTCTTAAAATCCTTTATTTTTCTTTATTGTTCGCTTACTTTGTCATTCTTTCATAATGGGAGTTCAGTAAGTCTGTCCCTTAGTTTATTTTTCTTTCTTATGTTTTATAGAAAGGAGTTTTTCGAGTCACATGGATGTTTATTTAGTCCTTTTTCGTGGCGATTGGAATTGTCTTCCAATCCCAATGTTAAGTTGAAGCCGAAACCAAAGTACCATCATGAAGGAGTTCTGCTGGAAGAATTTCCTGGAGCCTACAAATGAATGAAATATCAGAAAAATTTGCCTCATAGTTTCACTTTTCGATCAAGAGAAAATGGAGACATATTTGATTCAGTTAAATATTCCTTATTTCCACATGAAACCTGAAAAGTGGTTGTTACCCGTTACCTTGGTAGCACCAAGTTAGGATTTTCTGGTGTTACCTTTATTGTTCTTCAGTTTTGTTAGACTTGGTTTGGCAACCCCCATACCCAATTATTGTAGCTTGTTGAGGTGCTTAAGCACCAATCATCTTGTATCTGTGATGGCAATGCTAATGGCAGTAAGAGCAAGTGTTTTAATGTTGAAATGGCTGGTGTTAAGGGTATGTTAGGACATAGATGTCTCTTTAAAAATGTTAAGGCATAGATATAACTATTATGTATAATCCTATAGTATCTGATTGGCATAATATTATTTCTACTGTTATACTTTTAAGAGATATGAAATTTACCACTTCAATTGTTGCAGCTGATGTGTCTAGCGGATCTAGAGTTTGATTATATCAACCCTTATGACTCTTCAAACCGGATAAACAGAGTGATTCTGCCTGAGTATATTGCAGAAGGAGTTCTAGGTGCCTTCTTTCTTCTAACAGGGCATTGGTGCATGTCACTGTTTTGTGGTCCATACCTCTACTATAATGTGAAACTGTAAGTTCTCTTACTTTCCATATAATGCTGATGCAATGCGTTGTGATTTCTTTGAACCTTGAAGTAAAGAGAAGAAAAAGATGAAGCTAGGATTACCAAAATCAAGACATATGCAAAAATAAGAGTAGACAAGTAATCAAACAAATAGGGAAAAGTGATTCTTCAGATGAAAGACAAGATAAACACTAAGAATCTAGAGTTAACTTGGGGAAGAGAGAAGAAAAGAATGGAGGGAGGAGGATTGGGGATGGGAAGGACAGCTCTATCATAATTTTAAAATTCTTTACAATTACCATCTCTGCCGAAGAATTAATGTTTGAGCGCTCATGTAGTTTTGTTCTGACTTGTAGACGCATAAACACAACATTTAGATAAGTATTAGAACGCTTCTCAAAGGCTTCAGACACTATCACTGATTCTTGGATGTACATGGAAATGTAGGGTCCACACATGCTGGCTGATGATACTTAAACCCAAGTGCCATGGATAAGTTTATGATATAGCTGTGATTTCTAGACGAATTTATGCTTTAGTGCAGTGATTGTGTCTTGGTGTTGTGAGCTACTGAATGTGCTATTTGTTTAGTTTTATGTTCTGACTAAGCATCCACTTTTTTTGATTAGGTATATGAGAAAGCAGCACCTGGTAGATGTTACTGAGATATTCAATATGCTTCACAAAGAAAAGAAGATCCGGCTTTTCAAACTCTTCTATCTTGTTTTCCTCCTGTTTCTCTCGATATTCTGGTATGTGGCTCAGAAAGTTGCACTTCTTCTTTCAACTGTTCTTTTTCTGTATGTTCAATACTGCTTAGTTGCATTATCTTATTCGCACATTTTTTGTAGGATGATTCTAACTGCATTGGAAGACCATGAATAATGAGGGACAACAGCTGCCTTAACGGATTGTCTGAATGGTTGCCACTAATTGCTGCTCCTTATCAAGATTGTTGCCACCAAATCATGACTGATGTAGTTTGTGGGAGATGGGTCAAGGGTTGTATGATTGTGTGGGATGGTAAATTCATCGGTATAGTCTGTGACATTTTTTCAAACTTCTGTTATAGCTGTAGTTTCAGGGATTTAGGGTTGTGTTTTCTTGATTCAGTATTCAGACATTGTGCTGTCTCAAATATAAATCCGTGTTAATGAACAACGGATACGTGCATGCATTGCAAGCCCCCTTGGTTTTTTTCAGTCTAGCTTAACTTCTATTTTCTTTATTAATCCACAGAATCATGATATAAGCGTCTGATTGCACAGCAATTTAGTCGCGAGTCACTCTTTAAATGTGTAATTAAGATCAATTTCACTTTTAGAAACAAACCTCAATTATTATAGTTTAGCCATGGCACTGGTTGATGTGGCTACACTGACCAAACAGGCATGGCATGCATTCACCAAGGCCTCATTAGCAGCCATGGTTATGACATGATTGGCGATTGAGGAGGAGGGGATGATTGATAATTCTTCAAGTTCATACACGATTGTTTGAGTTTTTATAATTTGATGTGTAAATTTTATAGCACCAAATTAAAATTTTGCATGCTACAGTTGTGCTCCTTGATGACTCTGGTTAAATACAGTTTCTATTTTAGTTTTGATAGATTACATCATTATCAACTTGGGTCTGGAAAAAAAAAAACGAAGAAGAAAAAAGAAACAAATAATTTAAAGTTGTAACAGGGAAGCCTGGGCAATGGTCGTGGCTAGGATTCTCAAAAATTTAGACTCATCGCACACCATGGGGGTTCGAGCCAACGGCAACAAAGTTAAGGTCTTCGCGCGCTACCAACTGAGCTACACCAAGCTGCTGTTGATTAAGCACCGGATTATTTTATTTTATAGAGTCCCACATCGGGAAAGTAATATAGTAATTTACACCTTAAATATAGGGGTTTCATTGGTAATAGCACCAAGGCCTTTAGGATAAAACCCCACACCTATAATAACCAAAAGGAAATCTATTGGATTTAGGTGGCTAAGTTGGGGACAATATCGGTGCTAGTGGGTGGACCTATGCGGGATTTGGTACTAGCATTGCATAGTGCCGGTGGGGTAATCCTACGAGGGTTCTATACCAACACGCATTAATGTGAATGGTGGCCCTATGCATTGGTTCGGTGTATAATACGCATAAAATGGAGGCCCACTATTAATAGCTCCGAGGCCTTTTGCAAATTTTTTATTCGTCCGCATCTTTTTGTATTAAATTACATATTTAATTTCTTTTTCAAATCTGGCCAAACAAAATAGAATTTTTAGTACAACGTTGAATTTAATCAAGAGACCCCAAAGACAAAAGGCAACAGTTGTGATTGGTTATGGTACTCTTTCAAAGTCCAGCATCTTCCACAATTTATGTTTATTCAAAACACTGAAAGCAATTGGATCACATAACTACGGGGCCTTTTCACCATAGCCATCTTTCTCGAGTTTAGAAAACAGTTTAACTAAAAGACCACGAAAACATTATATTAAATTAAAGCAAACAAGAAACACCTAGGTTTCTATCACCTAGTTGATGAAACCCTTAAACCCTAGTAACCGCTGAGATCTTCGGGTTCTTAGCTTCAATCTAAGGTCAAATTTGGTGGATTTTAAAGATTTTATTTTTTATTTTTTTGGGTATAAGCTGAGGAAACTTATGAATATTATTTGATTTATTTGATTTAATATTACTCGTAATTTATTTTGTATCACAATTTACATAAAAATAAAAACCCATAATTAAGATTTAAATTCTTAAATGAAGGCTTAGCTGCAATCCTTTGGAGTGGTGATTGCTACTTTTATATTGTCTCATTTCTCATATTAATTGTTATACGTTTATTCAGTAGATGAGTTTGATGATCTAGAAGTAGATGTGGGTTAAATTTATTTATTTTTTATAAAAAAAGTATAGGGGGAAGATTGGCTACTCTCACCACCAGCATCAGGGCAGACCCACAACCTTAAGGCGGAAGGACTTACGCATGGGCTAATTTACATGTTTAATCAGTTGAGTTTTTTTAACTCTTAATTTTAATTTTCTTAGTTTTTTGTGTCAATTTTTTGCTTAATTATATATGTAATTCATAATCAGTGTGACAATGTTATATCTATTCTAATGGTCAACAGTAGAAGTATGAATGCAAATAAAATTATTTGGAATATATATAAAAAAAACCCTTTTAAAAAGAAATAAAATAAAATATTTATTAATAAACAAAAGAAATTGAATAAAATAGAAGAGAGACTGCGCTAAATACACTTTGAGAGGGTGACGCCAACCGAAACCCCTGGGGATAGACAGACAAAAGCTCCACCGACCTCTGCAGCAGAGTTATGTATGTAAATGTTAACATCTTCAAGTTCAAAATTCGATCTTGTTGGTTGCTTCTCCATGATTTGCCTTTTGTTTCTACCATCTATTTGGGCAATTTAAACGTTTTAAATTAACTTTTTTTGCTTCTTTTGGGACTTCGGGGTTCGCAGAATGAGCTTGGAATCGTTGTTTTTCTGGGCATGTAATTGTGTTTGGTCCTTATACTGAATGGGTTTGATCTAATATGGGTTTATTTTGTTTCATATGCTGTTCATAACAATTTTTTGTGTTTTCACCATAATCTCTATGATATTAAATTTGCGTAAAAGAATTAGTTTAGGCACTGAATCCATCAAAAACTGACTAAATATGTATATGGTTTAACAGAGATTGCTATGTTATGTAATGGAACTATTTTCATTGCTTTGATTAATTCTTTCTTGTGACGCTTAGGACTAGAAGTTATACCATTAAGCTTTGGCTTAGCATATCATCTCTCTCATCCTTTGTATGCTAAGGTTTAGGATCATTATAATCGAAGTATTTTGGTCTCATCTCTTGGTTTTTGTTGCTGTTGTTGCAGTTCAGAATTTTTGAGGGTTTTGATACGAGATGGTGAACGCCACTAAAGGATTGTTCATCTCTTGGTAAGATAATTGTATGAACTTTCTGTTGTGCATTTCTTAATTTTACAAAAACAAGCATGGGTTTCGAGGATATTAGGTTGCGGTTCCTCCTCCCCTTCACATATTATAAAACTATGTCAAAACATAATAATGAAAATATGAGAAGTTTTAACATTTTGTATTGCTGATTGTCATTTGGTTTGACAGCTTTTCTCTTTTGGGTGTTAGTCTTGACCTTTTTTCTACTGGTAGCTCCAATGGAGGGTATGGTCATCACAGATTGACAATAATGTTTTTGAGTTGAAAGTGAGGCCTTGATTATGAAGCTTCTGGCTTGTGTAAATTCTATGATACAAAGAGCAATTCACCAATAGATTTTGATTTATCCAGGCATTCATTGCCTGTTGACTTGATCCAGCAGTTCCTAAAAGGGTAGTTTGAGTTGCTTCTTTTTCCCTTGTCAAGCTCTCTTTGTTTCCAAAACCAACCATTTGTAATTCTCTTGTGCAGCGACATACCTATGGCGCAATTCATCATCAATTACAACAATACACTGCCCCCTTCACAGCAATTCATAATACATGTCTTGAATAGTACTCACCTGTTTGTGTAGCCCCATGCAGCTGAAATGATAAGAAGCGCCATTTCCGAATTTAGAGATCAGAATTCTTATGAGAAGCCTACTTGAATCCTTTAGAGACCAAATTGGTCACTTTGTATTTGTATCTTGGTTTATTGTGTCCATGTATCAAATCTCTCTTCCAGCTCTTTGTCAACTGTAGCTCTTATTTAAACACATTGAAGCGAGCCACAGAGCTTTTTGAAAAACATTGGTTGACGTTGTTCCGATTTATTTAGTCACACATAGACATTTGCTTCTAAACTGGTTGTGCAAGGATAATGGGTTCCTTTCCTTTGCAATTGCTTTTGAATCTAATGAGATTGGATTATTTAATTCTGGTTATTATAAAGGAAAATGAAATTTCTATTTTATCTTTGATAGATTTCATGTTTATGAAGAGAAAAAAAAAAATAAGAAGAATGGGAGAAAATATTCCAAGAAATGTGTACCCCTTGAGTCGCCAACCGTGGTTCTCGAACAGACGACCTTAACGATAAAGAACTTCCGGTTTGCCAACTGAGCTAGACGTGCTTCTGTTGTCTAATATATGCATTATTCTTATTTATAGAGTCCCACATCGGGCTATTATAATAGTAATTTACACCTTAAATATAGGGGTGTTATTGATAATAACACCAAGGCCTTTAGGATAAAACCCCACACCTATAATAACCAAAAGGAAATCTATTGGATTTAGGTGGCTAAGTTGGGGACAATATCAATGCTAGTGGTGGACCTATGCGGGATTTGGTACTAGCATTGCATAGTGCCAGTGGGGTAATCCTACGAGAATTCGGTACCAACACGCAGTAGTGTGAGTGGTGGCCCTATGCATTGGTTCGGTGTACCAACATGCATAAAATAGAGGCCCACTACTAACATCACCGAGGCCTTTTGTAGAAAATTTATTCGCATATCCCCATCTTTTCGTATTAAATTATATATTTAATTTCTTTTTAAAATCTGGCGAAACAAAGGAAAAAGAAAGAGACAACCTTTAACCATAAAAAAGAAAAGAAAAAAAAGAAAAGAGAACAAGTGTTGCTGGCTCTAGCGGATCCCGCCCCAGTCTATTTCTTCTTCCTCTATCCCAAGCTCCCAACTTCCTATCTCTGTTTGCGAAAATGGCAGTCTCTTTTCACCCGACCACTTCTACTCCAAGCTTTCAGCCCCAAGCTAGACTCGCTCCTCCTCTCAGGTTTTCTCCCACATGGGTTTTGCTGTTTTTCTCTCTTTTCTTCTTTAATTAATTTTTAAAAGAAAACAAGATAAATGAATGTTTTTAATTGTAATCAGCAATTTGTATTCCACAGTTGTGCAACAAAACATTATTCAGGGTTAAAGCTTCAATCTTTAGGTACTCACTGCCTCTCTTGTTAGATAATTTTGGTCTTCTTTTCTGCGACGTATCAATAATTGATTTGCTTTTCTTTTAACAAAACTAAGGAAATTTTGGAGCTAAAAACCCCAACTTGACGGTTGAGCTCTACGGCAAAGTTAATAAGAGCCTTCAATCCAGGTAACTAAATTATGGGCTTGTATACATTTCTTTAATCCTTCCGAATTTTGATGGTTTTGTGTCAAAAGTTAGCGTATATCCAATATATTGGTAGTGTCCACTTAAACTTTTTTAAGAGTATTAACAGGGTGTAATTATCCTAGTGCAGCTAAGGCAATCCTGCTTCATTAAACTTCATTATGTTGTTTGAATGAGTTTCTTGTGTACTGGTTTCCTGAAAATTTCTCCGTTTGAATTTTGGGCTGTGCGGCAACAATGAGATTGTTTATTTGTTTGTTGTATTATCTGATATAGGGGAGTTTTAACCATAACAAGACACTCAAAATCGTGAATCTTAGACTTGTTTCTTTGTTCCTCAATGAAGTATCGTTGTGGGATTGCAAAGATGAGGCTGATTATAGCCTATAATCACAAAATAAAAACTGAGGCTGGCTTGTTTCTGTTGTATGGTAAAAATTATAATTGTCTGTTCTATTCTTGACATGCCATCTAAGGTGTTATATTCTTCCCTTCTTTGGAATGAAGCCTTCATTGTTTTCAATGATATCTCAAATATGTGTATATCCATGCATGTATCATGGATGCGCGGTGCAAGGCTACGTTATGTATATCTTAGAATTATTATTTTTTGAATAATAAGTGGTATATCCCTGATATTTGCTGTATTTTACTCGTTACCCCCCCGCCTTAGAGATGAGAAGTGCAAATTCATATTTTTAGGAGCATAACTTATCCTCATTACTAGGTTAGTGCCCACTCTGTTGTCAGGTTAAAATATATATTTACAAGTATCCTGAATTCCCAGTGGATGGGGAAGCTAATGATTGTGATTCGTTTTGATTACTGTTGCATTAGTTATTATTGTTCTCTAACTGACTCTTTAGTCTACCATTTTTCAGGAAAATAAATATGCTCAATTTGGTTTGATTCTTTTGAAACAAACAGAATAAGTTACAATTTTGCATGATAACTTTTTTTATCTGAGAGGTGTTTAAATTACTAAATCAGTATGTTAAAGCATGGATGATGCATCTCTACGTTTGACCTTTTTCAGGACACGTAACCAAAGACCATCACGAGCGCGAATTGGAATGATGCCTATAGGGACACCAAAGGTGCCCTATAGAACTCCTGGTGAGGGAACTTGGCAATGGGTTGATTTGTGGAATGCTCTAGTAAGTCATTACAGTTAATTTCATATGAATTGGACATGCAGTTTGTTGACATAGAAGGTTATAGGTACATGTTATAAAATTAGATACGAAACACATCTAGGGATGGCCCTTTATTTTGTGTATTGCTAGCTAGGAGGCTTGCAGTCCACTCATGCGGATTATTTGAACCAATTTCCTTTTACAACTCTGTTGAAGCTTTTTTCTTTGTATTTTTTTTATCCAAATATTTCAAATGATCCTGTGCATTTAGTATTTGATTTCTATTTTCAATTCCAAATCTTCCCTAAACCTATCTTGGTAGCTAGATAAATTTTTTTTTATAAAGTAGATCAACTTGACATCTTAAGTCAACTTTTTGGAGTGGATTTCAACTTAATGGAGTTTTAGTGGAATCCCATTTTTATTGTGTTTCTCTAAAAAAATCTTCTGTTTTCTGGGAATGTAGTACCGAGAACGTGTTATCTTCATTGGGCAGAATATAGATGAAGAGTTTAGCAATCAGATTTTGGCAACAATGCTGTACCTTGACACTATTGATTCTTCCAAAAGGCTTTATATGTATATCAATGGTCCTGGTGGAGATGTGAGTATCAGATTTTCATGATGATTATACTTCTTTCTTGATAATCTTTTTCCATGTTTCATATATCTGAAACTTGCACCATTTTGCAGCTTACTCCGAGCATGGCTATCTATGATACTATGCAGAGCTTAAAGAGTCCCGTTGGCACCCATTGTGTGGGCTATGCCTATAATTTAGCAGCCTTTCTTCTTGCAGCTGGAGAAAAGGTAATAGTACTGAATCCAAGTTGATAACATCCTTAATACTAATGCTCATCACGAAGGTGGTGAACGCAAGTTTTTATTTTTGCCTCAGAAGTGCAGAAGTTAATACAGCTAAATAGGGCTATGATAATGTGGTATAATGTGGGGGAATATAATTTTCTATAGAACATGACTGATGATGGCCTTTCATGTCCATTTTGTTGCTATCCGAGCTCTTTCTTTCACACATGCTGTTTAGCAACCCCTGTACATTAGTGATTTGATGCATTATCTTTATGTTCGATGTGACTTAAAAAGATTGTTGCTTTCATCTATTTCTAACTAAGATGGTTGAACTCTGAAACTCCACCTTTTTAAAATTTCTGCTTTGCTTAGGGCAATCGATTTGCAATGCCACTATCAAGGATTGCGCTACAATCTCCTGCCGGGGCTGCTCGTGGTCAGGTATTACTGCTTCCTGTCATTCCATGAAAAGCTGCGATATATACCTTTCATGTTTGTAGATTTTTGGTCCTTGTGGTGTTCACGAATCTTTATTGTGGCAGGCTGATGACATACAAAATGAAGCAAATGAACTTCTCAGAATCAAAGATTACCTTTATAACGAGTTGGCTAAGAACACTGGCCAGCCAGTTGAAAAGGTTAGCTATTTTGACAAGTAAAACCTATAATCCCTTTTGGGTTAGGTCGTTTTATGACCACATTAAGCGTTGTTACTTATCTGTTTCAATAAGTGATGCACAAGCTTGATGAATTACCATTTACAAGATTAAGCATTATTAGTTATTGTTTCTTAGTCTGAAGTTGAATGATGACTAACTTTAGACATCACCTGAACAAAAGATGCCTGTGTTGATCTTGGATTCAATTTTGATATTTTGAACTGTTTATATGCAGATTAACAAAGACTTAGGTCGGATGAAGCGGTTTAATGCACAGGAGGCTCTTGAGTATGGGCTCATTGATCGTGTAGTTAGGCCACCTCGTATTAAGGCTGACGCACCTCCCAAGGATGCGGGAACAGGTCTTGGTTAGTGTAACTGTTGCTTGTCTGGCAAATTGGATGATGGTAGCTATTAGTGTTCAAAATGTTTCTGAAGTTCATTTTTATGTTCATGTAGTATTCTACTTAGCCATAATTGTTGCATAGAATTTTTGCCCCTTTGATCTTTCGAAGGAAGAAAACACATGAAGTCTTTTGGAAATAACTATTTGCTAAAAAAAAGTGTTATCATTTTTACTCACAGTTTTTCCCATTAAAGTTGCCTAGAGAAGAAAAATATATAGATTCATCTATTGTGTGGTCGAATTCTCTTTTTCCATTGACTAATGAGGGGCAGTGAAAGCGGTATTATTTACAAAGATTCTCCACCAAAAAGGGGATTATAAGATGAATAGCAATATAGAAATCAGTTATGGTCTTGAAGATAATAAAGTCTTAAGAAAGGTACACATTATAGGGCGGAGAATGAAATAGAGAGACAAAGGAAAAGAAATTAGGTTTTTACTATTTTCTTGAGTTTTGCTACATACAGAGGTTAAACTACAAATTTGATTATTTTTGTTTGTATGAGCTAGTTTTGCTCTCCAAGTTTCATCAATGTTGATAAATTTGAGGGTAATCTGTCTACATCTGTAAGGGGTTGTAATACTTCTTCACAAGTAGCTAAACTGCAAAGGATTGGAGAGACTATCCCTTAACCTCTCTTCCTTCCATCCCTTGTTAACCTTATCAATGAAGTCTTCAATTCTTTTCTCCAAATTACTGTCGTGTTCATCCATGTCTCCCCAACCAATCTCGTCATCACTACCATTGTCGTCGTCATCTTCGTTGTAACCATCAGAATCAAAGCTATAATCTTCACTTTCGTCATCAACACGGTCACTGCCATTGTCATAACCATCCAGATTCAAGTATTTATCACTCTTTGTATCCTCAACATCATTGTCTGCATCTTCTTCTAGTTCATACTGATGATATAGGAAAGGTATGGTACCGTCAACTTCCCCGGAAGATGGCCTGTGACTTCCAACAATGATGGTGATGATGATGATGTTAAATAGTGAAAACACAAACAGAGGATTGGATGAGAAATGAAAACTGCGTTTCGAGATTGATTGCAGCAAAGAGCTGAGGTCAAGAGCAGCAGCTATGAAGAGTAAGAGAAAGACAGTTCCTGGTACCCCAACAAGCCTCATGCCCTGGTTTAAACAAACAGGTGTGATTGTGATAGTTTAATTCTTAAGTCTCCTCTGAAGGGATTATAATTTATAGAGTTTGGAGCTTTTTGCATCAACCTATTTGTTTTAGGTGGTTTTCCCGGAAAGTTTGATATAGTTATACTATTTGTATACTCTAAGTTTGATAGCGTATATTATGGTTAAGTAATGAAAACTTCCAAGCATAACTTAGCCCCTAATTTTCTGGGTTTCCAGAAAACATGAGGCCTCCTTTAATGAGTTCTCTAGCTAAAATCTGACCCTGTCTTGGAACCCACCTGGAAAAGGACAAGCCAAAAGTCCAAGTTTCACCCATTTCACAATTGGGTGTAATTTGGGCAAACATAAAATTAATCAAGACAATACAAATTTGAAGTATGTGTTGGGAGAACCAAAGTCATCCTGATCATTAGTTTAATATGTTTTAATATCTCAATAATGGTATTATTTTGGTTATCTTCACAAGAAATGGGTCAGAATTTTGAAACCCTGGCATTATTCATGGATGTAAATCAACCATATGACACTCTGGTATTGGACAAGCCAATTTGAGCAGAACATTAGTGGAGATGGCTTTGAAAAAGTGACTTGGAGATTTTGGTATCTGATTACTTCTACGTTTGGCTATAAAACACAATTTCTGGGAAACTTCATTGGAGGCTTTTTGTAGGCTCTTGAAAAAAAAAATACAAAAAACATAAAAAGGGAAGAAGAAGAAACTTCCTAGGCATTGACCCTTAAGATTATTATTTTTTTGGTTTTTGGCAAGAAACTTCTTGGAGATGAGGAAACATCCCTAGATTCTGCGACGATTTGAAGTGGACAGATTGAGAAAAATTAAAATTAAAAAAAATATTACATGCAAGTGTAGCTGACTAAGAAATGTGTTTTTGTTTGTTGCAATGGAAACACACTTTGAGGTGATACAGAGCCAAGGAGATGGGCTAAATAGAACTGACCCCGAGTGGTTCTTTCAATCTGATTTGTTTAATTCCATTGTTGATATCACTCTATAAATCTTAATGCCAATGACGAATTCTTGATGGTTACGACAGTTGACTTGAGTTGAGCTCACTGACCGTTTAACAAATGAAAGAGACATGAAATCTTCGAAAGCGAAAACAATCCAAATTCAGTGTCTTGTTCCCAGGCACCAAAGTTTTAAATGGGCACAGAGGTTACCTAAATTCCTGTCTTCGACCATCATCTGACCAAGTCAAAGAGATGAAAGCTGAGTTTTACAGAGTTACTACCAATTTTATTGTGCAGAAGTTAAAACCATTGCTGAGTTGAACCAACAGAAGCAAACAATTGAGACACAGTCAATCAATAGGTCTCAAACAACTTCCAAATCACATTACATCAAATCCAAAGAAAGACGGATTCTGGTGCTAATATTACATCATCGAACTACTCTAGGGGGCACAACAGGCTACATAAGCAGCACTAGAAGCCTACCTATGCGGCTAATTTAAATAACACCTAAAATGGGTGCAAACCCCATGACGATACTAGTAGTCAACAAGTTTACAGACAACAAACAAGGAGAAGTGAGATCCAACAGCTGGGACTTGGGAGTTTAATCTGCCACTGTGGTCAGTCAGAAACCTCATATTGCAACTATAAGTGCATTCTCTTTCAGATTACACCTCCAGGCAAAGATACATTAATGTCAGTCTTGGTTTTCGGATCCGATGGCAATGAAGACCAATTATCTCCACGGAAGGAAGTCGAAGATGAGAAGTTTGGTTTTGGATCAACACTAGAAATAGGAACAGCCATAGTTGGCGTTGCATTAGAGATGTAATCATGTTTCTGTTTCTTGGGCTTCTGCTCATGCTGGTTTCCTGACAGAAAACTGCCTACTACAACCTGATTTAAATCAAGGAAGAAATCTCAGATCATGGTTTCTTGTGATTAAAAAGCAGCTCATAACCATGCTGACTTTCTGGGTTTCTTTTGGATGCAAATGGCCAAGGTTGGTCCTAAAAGTTTGAACTCAAGGATGCGGGTAGAAATTCGGAAATAAAAAAAGCCATACCTGCACAGGACTTGCAGCTACTAACAGACCAGCTACACCACCACCTACAACACGCCCATCTGGACTTGCCAAAGAAACGCTCATCCCACCTGATCTGCTTCTTGTCCCTCCAGTTTCATTGGGCATAAATGAACCAGATAAAGATAGTATCTCAAAACGCCCCTGCAAGAACAAGAATGCAAAGAGATGGGAATTCCACTTGTGGTTCACGAAAGAAGATATAATAACTACAAAAGATACGATATTGGAAATTTAAATGTACAAACATAAAGAATCGGTCTTTCATTTAGGCAAATTCAATGAAAAACAATCATTAAATCAATTATCAGAAATCAAGGCTGCATAAGGGGAAAAGGTGGAAAACCATGTGGATTGAGGTAGCAACAAGTTTGACAAGAGCTATGCATGATACAGGCCTAATGTACCAGAACCAAACAGTTATGCAAGGATGATGGACTAATTTAGTACATTTCCAAATCATGAGTGGAAAGACTTAAGGCATAATTCTTCCAATCTAACCATTCCGATGCTGAAATTTTGATTATAGCATAAGTATTAGTCTTCATTCATTATAACCACTCATCCCTATTGGCTATTAGACTACACTTTACTGTCAACTGCGATTCTCTCATCTGGTTCTAGTTATGGGGCTGTAACAGCATCACAGCTGCTAAGGTGTTCATTAATCTACTTGTCTAATAAATGGACAAAAGTTCACTTATCCCCCAAAAAGAGAACAACAGTAGGCTCAAAGGATTTAACTACAAACTGACTAATAGAATAAGCCTCACTTTTCACATTATGACATAATAAGTAAATAACTGGCATGCCAACAAAAAGCTCCCATCTTAAAGGGGAGGAAAAAAAACCTCATAGTCCATGTAATGTAAGGATTAAGCATTATTAATAACAAACTAGCTACCAACTCAAGAAGTTTCAGCATACTCATTAACAGTGATGACGGAAAGGGATCAGAGTAAGAGCATACTACTCAACATAATCAGCAATAAGAAAAAAAAAACATCAACTCTGAAAACTAATTATGCTTATAATGCTACATATAGCAGAATATTACAGAAATAAAACATATATCAAACACTAAACAAGTTATTTTTAATAGAATATCAACAATACCTCAAAAATGGCACATTACTGAACTAACGGAAATAAAGATATCATCAAAATGAGGATAAGATGCATCACCTCATATGTCAATGTACCGCCAGAAGAATCAGGCTGACGAAGTGTCACACTTGATATAACACCATTTGCAGAAAGCACACATATAGCTCGAGGACCTTGTTGAGAAAATGATATAATCTTCATCATGACATCCTAAGACAACCACAGTTGTTACAGGAAAAGTCAACTTAAGTGCTTAAAGTACTCATTAAAGTGAAGAACCAAGAAACTAGTAACATAAAAGATCTGAAAATGTTAAAAAGGTCACTAATTAGTGAAAGAACCAAAGAACATCCGCCGAACCTAGTACTTACAATTGGCCATGTCCAGCTATTTAAGTAATGTAACCATTCATTTAGACCAACCATTGACATCATGAAGGTTCTCGCAATGCAGGATATGACATAAACATAATTATTAGAGTTAATTACCTCGCCCGAATTAACAGTGATGATATGGGGTGTAAAATTAGCACCAACAGAGCATGCAACCCATTCACCTACAAAAAAAAGGAACTCTTGCATGATTAGCCACATAAAAAGGAGCTCTCCACTTTGTGATAGGTTTTTTGACATATGCCCTTCACATCAAGGTACTTGTTCCCTAAATCAAAATAAGGCAAAGTAACGTAGAGCCTAAATCATCTTTCCATCATTTGTTAAAAAACATTAATCTTCAGTTTTTACCAAAAAAGAGTGTTGACTCAGACTTGGCCAACTGCAGAGCTCAACAGACACCAACAATGACATCATCATCAACCTCAAAAACAGATTAGGAAACTTTAATTATTATGCTTACATGCTTGTTTTATGTAATCCCAAGAAAATTATAAATAATAATACTATCACGTTAAATGCAAGCAATCATAAAAAAAAAATTCCATATGAGGCTTGTTGGTGTTATACTAGAATTAAAGAGCTCATAGCAGCCTACAAGGGTGGAGAACTTGTCAGTTAGCCATATTCCTAATTTCCTACCATCAAAGATTCCAGTATGGATTTTCCAAGCCTCCACTACTGTGATTGCAAATAATTTGTACAGAAGTGGTCATCTATAAACAAAAAGTACAGATAAAAACACACACCAACAGAAATTATATGCATTGCCATTCACTAAAAAAAAAAAAAAAGCATATGCATTTCCATAATATTGCTTAAGTCCCTAAATATTTACAATTTACCATCTTTACTTCAGTCACAAAAAGATAAAACACTAATACAGATGCATGATCAACATAGATTGAAAATATTAGGTAATGTTAACAGATTAGCTAGCAACGGAAATCTGTTGGACAGTAGGTGGTATAACTACTGTCCCAAAAGAATTTGAATTACCCCTGGTTATTCCAAACAAAGGTAATTATTATAAAAATTGAGACGAGTACTCATTTATGCTAAATCAAAATTGCCAACATTTCCTTAACCTATCTTCTTGTATAAAGCAGAATAATTTTTCAAACATCCAAAAGAGAGAAAAAGAAAGGCATGACAATTGTAAAGAAGCATAACCAGTGTACCAAAACAATAATGTAAGGACCTAGGATTCTTGTATAAGTGAAAGAATAAACTAGTAGATTATCCAAAAGGATAGAGGAAAACAAAGAAAGAGATATATAATGCATTGATGAAACTAATTCACTGAAAGACTGGAAGTAAATGTCAGTCCCAAATTTATTTGAAAAATATGATAAAATCTGCATACAAACAAAAACACAATAATTATCTTACTAAAACTGATAAACAACAATTAATCAAATTCCACATGGCACATTTCTGCTAATGATTGGTAGCTGGGATTATAAATTTTCATGCAGACGCTCATGTGAAGCCAGCAGATGACAAACTAGAATCACATACTAGCAAATATCTTTCATAATAAATATTCCACCATCCATCTTTTCAAAGAATACTATGAAAGTTGACTGGCCCAATAAAATGCAAAATTATGAGTCTAGAATGTAGATGCTAATTGAAACTCCTAAGCTCCAATACTCTTGGTAGAAAGGATCGCAATACATGCTAAGACTGAAATAACAAAGACCAACGATAACCAGAATTTCATTCTGAGAAACCAATGATACAACAAAAAATCAGAACTAAGTCGCTAACATGGACAAGACATAAATAAAAGAGGGGATATTATTTCCTTCTTTAGATCTGTCAGCCATTTTAAGACAGGTTTCAAGTCCAAGTCTGTTCACCATCACCTGCAGACTTTAGCATGTACAAAGTTGGCACCTGGCATAATTTTCTTCCTCAAAAAGGCGAGAGGTGCCAAAGGACAGCCATAACGAGAAGATTCCATCATTCCCATACCAACCCACAAAAACTCATCTGTTCAGAACTACCACCACACACACCAAGATCTTACTAAGGGTATCCAATCAGAGGTCCCACATCTACCCAACAAGAATCCCATAAACCCCAAAGCTATACCCTCTTAAATCCAACCCCTTACATGAGTAAATCTCACCCAATCCCCACACAGAAACAACACATACCAACACTAAAAATCTCAACTTTAGCTCAAAAACAAGCATAAAATCACTCGAACTCAAAAGGGTATGTACAAATAACCATTATTTCATTACCTAAATTCTCCACCTCATACTTGGTCTTGCTCACTGAGCTGGTCGGCTTCACTTTCCCGCGCTTCTCCGCCGAGAAATCGATCACCGGAGGCGGCGCAGAGGACGATATCGGCTTTGGTGAAAGCGCCATGGTCACACTCCCGTCTGGTCCGTACTTCCTTGGCCTCCCCCTCTTCTTCTTCATCGGCAAAGACCCAGCCGCCGGCAGAGCCGCCGCCGGTGGCGGAGCAACCGGCGCCGGGGGTGTTGATCCGGCGGTATGGGTTGTGTTTCCCATCCGCCGGCAGAGCCGCCGCCGGTGGCGGAGCAACCGGCGCCGGAGGTGTTGATCCGGCGTTATGGGTTGTGTTTTCAGACCTTGGAGCCACATGGTAGTCTGACGGAGCATCTGATGCCACCACTGTAACCCCACTACTATTCACTCCTTCCCTACCCTCCATAGTTAACCTTAAACCCTCAAAATTTGTATCTTTTGAGCTTTTTAACAAAAACCCATTTTTACTTTACTAATCTAAATCACTCGAAAAATAGCTCAGTGTTCCGAAATTTGAAAACTGAACAAGAAATTATACCTGAAACAGAAAACCCAGATGGAAAAAAAAAATTAAGAGAAAAAGAGCTACAACACTCAAGCTTCCTGAGCTTTGAACACAAAAACTACATGAGAAACTATTACAAGGAAAAATTAGCTGCAAAAGAGTAGTTTTATTCAAAGCTCTTTTATTTAAAGCAAAGTTAGCTTGAAAAACAGAGCTCAAAGGGTGAAGAAATTGATTTAAATTTTTTTCAAAGGAAAAAATTTTGATTTTTATTCGTAGAGTGTGAAGAAAAAGATTTGATCTTTTGAGCTCTTTGATTTCTGGTTTTGTGATTTGAATGGAAATTGTTCAGATAATAGTAAGAAAGGTTGTTTTTTTGTTTTTCAGCTTATTGGGTGCCTAACTCTCCTAAGACTGTCCGAATTGAGATTAAAAAAATGAAATGTAAAATAAAAAAGAATAAAATATTAAATAATTAGAAAATTTTGAATTTGTAATGATTTATTTATGATTTTTTAATGTTAAAATATATATTTCTTGTTTTGGTTGGAATCCGGTGAGAAATAATATATAAAATAAAATTGGTAGTGGGTAGGGGATTTTCTTATTCTTTCTTTTTTTAAGCATATTTTTTGCTTGAAATATGGGCAAAAGTGAAATGGAGTAATTATTGTTGTTATTATTTTTATAGTTTTTAGGTGAATGGGAAAGTAAAATTAGGTTGCCAAGGCATGAAGAAAAGAAATTGTCTAGAAAAGGGAAAAAGATGGGGTGGGGTGGGCTTGGGCAGGCATCAACTTTTTGAGTTATGGCAAGCGCAATCTGGTACAAGTAAGAAAAATTAAATAAATAAAAAAGCAAAATCATACCAACCAAAAAAAAAAACAACAAAAATCATAAAAGGATAAGATGAAATTTTCATTTTCATTTGCTTCTTGTATAACTCACAACTCTGGTTTCACTTTTGCTGCCTCCACATTTTCATTCAGCATAATGGACTAAAAGACTCATAAAAAATAAATAAAGCATTTGCTCATATTTTTGTAAATAGACGGAGGAAAACCGCCCATTATGCTTTGTTTGGCGCATCCAAATTTTAGTAAACTTGGTCTTCTTTAGAATAAGGTTTTAAAAAAATCAATGGAAATTCAGAATTTTGGTTTCAATGTTTAGAAGTCTTGGAAATAGACGTGCTTCTTTTTATTGTGATACCAATAGAATTTTACTTGTGACAACATAAATATATGGATATGATCCTCATAATAAAATTTAAACCAATAAATGAGTTTAGGAAAACACAAAATTTTCCTAAACATGAGTTTAGAATGTAAACATCCATTTTTTTTATTTATGGATTTTGAATATTCATAGAATAGTGGACGCAAAATAATGACGCATACTATACGTGAAAATGCATTTCTAAGAAATAAGAAATGCATTCCTTACTGGTATGTTCTTGGTGCCGAGCATGTACCGTGACATGTAAATAAATTTTAAGGAATATGAAAACTCATTCATTACTTGTGCGGTCTTGGTGCCGAGCATGTGCTGTGACATGGAAATGAATTTTAAGGAATATGAAAATCATTCCTTACCTGTGCGGTCCTAGTGCCGAGCATGTGGCGCGACACAAAAATAAATTTTAAGGAATATGAAACTCATTTTATACTGTGTGTAGCCCCACCAGAATTCGAGTCATGCTGCCAGCAGTCCTTATTGGTGTATGATCAGTAATTTCCTACATAAATCCATATCGATGGCAGCTGGTAGTTGGGTGTCACGCATAAGTCCTTCCAACTCGAGGTTGTGGATCTACTCTAGCACTAGTGGTGAGAGTAGCCAATCTCCCCCCTAAACTTTTCTTCATTTAAAAAATAAATAAATAAACTCATTTTATACTGTGTGTAGCCCCACCAGAATTCGAGTCATGCTGCCAGCAGTCCTTATTGGTGTGTGATCAGTAATTTCCTACATAAATCCATATCGATGGCAGCTGGTAGTTGGGTGCCACGCATAAGTCCTTCCAACTCGAGGTTGTGGATCTACTCTAGCACTAGTGGTGAGAGTAGCCAATCTCCCCCATAAACTTTTCTTCATTTAAAAAATAAATAAATAAACTCATTTTATACTAGTGCAGATCATGTAAAAAACTCATTGCTTACTAGGGCAAACCTAGTACAAAGCATGCGGAGCGACTACACAAAATTCCCAAACTTATAAGGACCACAAAATTTTTAACCCACCTATAAGTAATGTAATTTATATATATATATAGTATATGCATAGCAATTGTAAAAATAGAATAAATCGTAAAATAATTTAAAAACTTAAAATTTAAATGAACTTAGAATTTAAATGAAATAAACTTACAGAAAATCTTGATTGAAAGATTTTTATTGATGACTGCTCGTAGCAGGGAAATACATGTTTTACAAGAGTCTTTCAGAGGTTTTTGAGAAAACTCATAGCTAGTCATCCTTCAGTAGAAACAATAATTATTAATCACAAGAATTCCAAGCTCCTTGCCAGTCCGTTCAAACTTCCTGAGCAAAATGACAAGAAAATAATTGAGCAAAACAATAACACAAATCAAAGCCTGATAACTTTAGGAAAACAATTGGATAAGTTAGAAACAAAATTTGATAAAATACTCACTCATGAATAAGCCTAAAATAGAAAAACCCCTAGTCAAGTTCCAAGAAATAAAACCAGGTCTAACCCTTAAAACAACTCCCACTCTGAAAAAGATAGAATAAATGCTTGAACAATTAACACCAATGAAAGAACAAACCACTAAAACAGAATCATCCTCTACCCTTAAGGTTATTCAAGTACACTCCTCAGAATCAGGATCTCCTTCTGACATTGATACTGATTCAAGTAACATATCAAAAATAGAAAACGCCTTTAACAATTTAAAACTTAGTCGACTACAAACTATAGTAAATCCTACCAGTTTAACAACAAATTGGTATCCTAAACCAACTCCCCCAAACCTCTAATTCGAAGAAAGAAACTTTCCAAGGCAATTCTCAGTCTCCTCTGACAAACTTTATGAATGGAATATAGACGGTATGTCTGAACAAGAAATTATGAATAAATTACAACATATGTCTATAGTTGCCAATAGTTACATTACTAATCACACTCTAAGATAATCAGAAATAATACCTCTCCTAGAAACAGGATTCACAGGAACCTTACGTTCTTGGTGGGATAAGCACCTCACAAAAGAGTCAAAACGGCAAATTACACATGCAGTAAAACTAAATGAGGAAGCATTCCCTATATTTGATGAAAATGTTAACATGGGAATTGAAGATGGAGTCAATACTGTTGTGAATTAGAACCAACTCACTCCCCTTTAGACCTTGTTGTTGATGGACTTTGGACAAGACTCAGTGATGGATGAGTCTTACACACACACACAGAAAAGTACCCAAGCACAAATGACACAAGTGTTTATAGAGGTTCAACAATTTGCCTACATCCTCTTTGGTGATCCCCTTGAGAAATTTCACTAATGAAGACAGGTTACAACTTTGGTTTACACAGAAACCCCCTTAGAACACTACCCTCACAACCTGTTTCTCTCACACCCTTGCTCACACCTTGATACACTTGATAATTCTCTCTTCTACTTGACTCACTAGTTTCCAGCTACTTCTCTTCCAACTCTTTCTAACTCTTCAATTGCAGACTTGCTCCCTCTTTCCTTTAATACACAAGCCTCTAGACTTGAGAGGTGACCCTTGCTTTGTCTCCCACGTTCTACCCTTGAATACCTGACATGGACCACAGGTTAGGCCAGCCACAAGCTATGTATTAATGGCTACATGTCCAGCCACCCTATATAGAATCATACGATAGTTACACCTTGTAACAAGTCAACAAATGTCCTTCAATGCTCCCTCAAACCTCCCAACTGATTGCCAACTTCTTCTGACTCAGAAGTGACCCCTAGGGTCCTTGCAAGTAGGTGGGAGGCGATAGCCCTTGAAAATAGAGTTGAGAACTCGAGAAAATCCGAAACAGCACGTGTTGGGCGACCGGTCGTTGGCTTCTTGCGACCGGTCGCTTTTTGGCAGAGTCGTAAGCGATCGGTCGCTTGAAGCTGGCGACTGGTCGCCAGAAGATTTTGCTCTAGACTTCGAACCTGCCTGAAAAAACGACCAATTGCTTGCATTGTGCGACCGGTCGCTTTTCAGGCAAAGTCTTCGGCGACCGGTCGCTTCCTGTTCTGTCTCCGAAACTTGTATCCTTTATGCGAGCCAATTTTCACAACAAATACATTATTATACACAATAATTGAACATTTCATAGGTACACCTAGTAACACTACAGCTAGAATTCATGATCAACTTAGTAATCTTAGATGTCCTAAGTTAAGTGATTTTAGATGGTACAAAGATGTCTTTATATCCAGAGTCATGCTAAGAGATGATAGTAATCAACCATTTTGGAAGGAAAAATTCATCAATGGTCTTCCCAATCTTTTCGCACATAAAATAAGAACAATCTTAAGTAATGATCAAGGCCACATCAATTTTGACAGTGTAACTTACAGAAATATAATAAGTACAATCAACCAAGTAGGAATGAAGATGTGTGTAGATATGAAGATAGGTAAACAAATTCAGTCAGAAAGAAATTCAACTAGATATGAATTAGGAGATTTCTGTGAACAGTTTGGTCTGATGTCTATTCCCCCTTCTAGAAAAGCCAAACAAAAACCCTATGATAGACAAACCAATAAAACTAGGCATTATCAGAGAAGAAAACATTCCTTTAAAAATAATAACGAATTCTATAGTAAAAACAAATACAACAAAAGAAAAAATTGGTCCAAAAAACCTCACATAGGTCAAAAGAGTAAATTTAGTAAAAATACTGATAAACGGAAAGTTGAGTGTTGGAAATGTAAAAAATTCGGACATTACGCTAATGAATGCAAAGTTAAAGATACGATAAAGTAATTAAAAATCTCGGAAGAAGACAAAGCCCAATTAATTAAAATTCTAGAAATACAAGACACTGAGCCTAGCGAAAATGAAATTTTAATAACCAACTCATAGTATCATAGTTCTTCAGATTCCACGATAAGTTCCCCAAGAATTCAATCCTGGTTTACTTGATCAATAATTCTTTCTGACTTGAATTTATCCCACCATTTTATTGAGATTTGTTTGGATAGGACTCTTGATTCCCAATTGACTTGATATGACCATTTAAGAATCCAAGGGACTTTGTAATTGGCAACAAAAGTTAATAGACTTGGGAAGAAAGTGTCTTCTTCTTTGAATTTGTATTAAGTGGAAAAATAAGTGACTGAATCTTTGAGCTCTGAAGGAAGAATGTTAATAACTGGGCCATGGTTTTCCTACCAGGAAGAGAACCAGGATGGAAAAGGACTTCGGAATTTACTATCAACATTAACG